GCTGATAATAACGGTCTACCCTCATGTTTTATTTATAGTCCATCAAAAGTCACATGACCTGTTGTCAAGAGTTCTAAGAATTATATGAATAAGGATGAAACAGGAACTAGGAATTGAGACGGATGTCATTACAACTTCACTTAGTCCGGTATTACAGTGTATGATTGATGTCGTTAATGAATGAAAGTAATGGAATTCGTTGCTTTATTCGCTTTACTAGATGATCATGCTATCATTATAAGGCCCCAGTTCATTTAAATTATTTTGGAAGTTATTTTGAATGCCCAGGAATTGTCTGTTATCAATTCGATTTACCTGTACGGATTTGATTGACAGATCAACTTATTTAACAATTCTTTCTTCACACAATATTTATCAAACTTTATAAAACTTTATGAAAACAGAGATGATTTTATTTCCCCTATTGTCAAGTTTCCTTTTACTTGCAGCAATATTTCTTCTATTACATTAAAACATTTTACAAATGATAAACAAAAATTCTTACCAATAATTTTGTTGCAATTACAATGTATATTGCTTCGTTCGTCAAGGATGATTTAAAAACGTTTTAGCATCCTGATCATAGCCAAAATTTGGAAATGTTTGCATCAAAGTCATGTAGTGTAGAGTTAAACATTTTCCAGGAAAGCAAGGGAAACCATACTTTGTTATCGATGGGTTTTTAAGGTGCATAATCTGTACACACGCCTAATGTCCAATCGATGAATCAGGTGCTTATTCCATGTCAGTTCCGGGATCACTGACATTGCATGGGATACCCGATTGAAGCATCGTCTTGACTCTATGGGCCGTATGCCGCGGTCGAACTTTAGTCGTACTTTACTCAAAGTCGGGCTTAAGTCAGACTTTTGGTATGCTGCGCTCGATCTTTGATGTAAGTCATGCTTTACTCGAGTGTTTTATGGACAAAACTAAAGTAAAGTCAAAGATAGGGTGGTAGCAGACTTTAGCCGTACTTTATATACGTTTGCGATTGAAATTGTGACAATGGAAGATTATTTCAACCAATTACACCAAATTATAGATATTTACCATGTGGAGAGGAGATTTAAAGACCGCTCAAATCCAATGGAAGATCTAGACGAGAGTGAATTTACGAAACGCTTCAGATTTCCGAAGGATGGCGTTCTGCATAGTTTTGAAATTAGTTCAATCATCGATGTGACCAAACTGTACATATCCCACCATTACTACAGTTATTGGTATGTCTTCGTTGGTATGCTAGTGGCTCCAAATAAACGTGGGGGACATAATGGGCGTTCATCAATCCAGTGTCTCCCGAATAGTGAAATTGGTATCAAGGGCTATATATAGCTATTCATAGGCCTGAGGTAATTAGGTTTCCAGATGAAAATGAAATAAAAACAATAGAACGAGGTTTTTACGATATTACGCAGTTTTCAGGAATAATTGGAACAATTGGCTGTACACATGGAACACGTGATGATTTCTGTGTTGGAACTGTATTTGTATCTGGACACAATGTTCCGCTGGAATTGAAAAATTCAGTACCAATGCAGAAGGGATTGTTTAAAGTAAGGTGCTACGTAACAGTTCGAATCGTGCATATGCAACTTATTTCGAAGACGTGGAATCAGTCTCGTAATTTATCTTCTTTCGAAATTTCCACAGCACTTGTCAAACTCGAAGTGACATATTAATATCTACTTTTTATTGAAATTGGATTTGCGGATATGAGAAGTTCAAATTATGTATAATCAGAGAACTGTATCCCTTTAACTAACCTGACGTCGGTTGAGCCAAAGTGAAGCTATCTTGATGGAAATCCACATCGTTATCAAAATCATTCTGCAGAGGGTGCATTTGTGCCGGTATCATTGCACATATCTGATTTGAATTACTAGAATCCATTATCTCCACTCTACCACCACCAGTTTTCTTTCTCTCTTTTTTCAATCACTACAGATTTGTTTGCCTTCATTTTCAAATTATTTCAGCATTTCTTTAACTGCTTGTAATCTCGTTTAAAGAAAGTGGGCTTCTATTTCTCTCCACGCCTTTTCCTTCCTTTGTATGGACCGAATATCATTTTGTTTCGACTCCAATACACCCTTAAACTCATTCACTACATCGATAAGGAATTCCTGTTCAATTACAGTAATTATCTGATATCTTGAACAATCAATCAAATCATGATTTGTAAATGACCCTGATGCGTATTTATAGTAAAGACCCCACGGAAAAGCACATGAGAAACATGCCAGATTCTTGCTGTCCGTAGGCCTAAGTGTCCGATCAAAATTTTAGTTAAAATATGTATCAATCACTTTTTCTAATAACAAATATATTCGAAATTAAATTATAATTCTTTGAGGTATCGTTTAAGTTGAAGCCATGCATACCGAAATGAATTAGTTACTAAGTCGAACTCAGGCGAAACTTTACAAAGTCTGACTTTACCCGAAGTCTGACTTAGCGTTAAGTTCGAGCGCAGCATACGGCCCTAAATGTTGAGATTCTGTGCCTGTCCAGCATTAATCTATCTTAGCAATAAAGAGATCTTTTATAGCTGAAAAACAAAAATTAGAAAATCCATTGTTGTCTTATTCTAAACTAACTGATTATTAAAAAGAGTTATTTCCCTTTAACCACAAACTGATAGAAATTTTACCGGAAGTGCCACGTTTAGGTGTCTCTACTTGTACTTTCT